AAATTTTCGGAAGTTATTTGTATTTTATAACAATCTACCTACTATATCTGTACACAATATGTATGGAATATTAAATATTAGCTCGGGTAAATATAGAAAAATTTCAATATTGTCTTAGCGGCATACTTTTGGGATATACAATTAACCCACGCAGATGGGTTAAACATTGAAAATTTCTGGGTGTTAAACCTGGGATCGAATTTAAGGCGCGAAAAAAGTCGAACTTGTATCGACAAATTAAAAAATATAGAAAAGCTCGTTCATTCAATTTAGTGTTGTCAAAAAGATTTTATTTTGTATCTTCCTGACCTTTCACTAATTTCTAAATTCAATTATTCAAAACTTAAGTCATTTTGAAACATATAATATTAAAGCACTTTTTTATTTCTTGTTTGAAGATAATCGAGTCATTAAAAAATTATAATTAAACAATTCTAAGAATTAGTTTTTTGAAAATATTCTAATGTAATTTTTCGAAAATGATTGAATGTCTTTAAAGAATTTTTATTAGTCTTAATTTTTAAATATTTACAGTTAAAGATTTAAAAAAAAAAAATGTTTGAGAATTCAATTATATTTTCAAAAATTTGCAAAATTAAAATACTTCAAAATTTGATTTTTTTAAATTGTAATAAAATACTTGAAAAAATTAATTATTTTCAATTAAATTTTACAAAATTTCAATTACTCAAAAATTTTTTAATTCTATATTTTGAAAATTTAATTAGAAAAATTTAAAAATAATTTTTCAATGATTTAAAAGTGCAATTTTTTTTTTTTTTTTGAAAACAAAAAAGCAGGGGAATTATTCATCATTAAATATTAATACCATTTTCATATTCGAGGACTGTGCAATTTTATTTTTTGCAAACAAAAAAGCAGTGAAATTATTCATCATTAAATATTAATACCATTTTGCACAATTTTTTGGCAATAAGCTATCTTACCTAATAAAGCACCAATATCTAACTCGCTGTCGATTGTTGCTGCTTATTTGCCTCCACTTTTTCGCCTGAAATTAAAAAGAAACGGTTACTTAACAACAATATATATAAATTTTATATAATTAATTAATTTCAATATAATAATCAACTTTTACCAAAAAGCATTAAAATTTGGTCACATTGACGCTGAATAAAAATCAGCACTGTCAGTTGCGTTCATGAACATAACCTAATTTATTCTGTGCGCGCCTGTGCACGGTTGGGCAGTTGTGAAAAAGAAACACAGTGACAAATGTGTTGCAAGTGCGCATGCCCGCATAGTCAACATTTAATTAACATAACCTATATTAAAATCGTCAATATTATTACGATTATTAGTAATAGTAATAATAATAGCAATATTAATAGTAGTAGTAATAATATTAATAGTAAAAGTACCACTAGTAGCCTAGTACATGTAGTGTTAGTGAAAAAATTCAAGTATTGGAAGAGTAAGGCATATAGTAGAGATGGCCAAAAAGGAGAGAAAAAAAATCACTTGGAGAAGGCAAGGGACGAGGATAACTTGACGAAACAATGGAGCCAATGCATAGGACCGCCTGTGCTGAATGGCGAGGCACCCGACAGAGAGGCCGCCATTCAGTGTGGCCCTGGAGCAATAGAGACGGACCCAGTCTTACGGGCAATTACGGTAGCCGGAAGGCTATACAGAAAAGGGTACACGGTTCTCTCTTACGCCATTCGCGAGGGACAGGGACGAAGAAATAATTACAGAGACGCCCCGGCGATAAATCAAGAGATCTCATTCTCTCTCTCTCTCTCTTCTTAGTTTTTTTCTCTCCCCACCTACTAATATTCTATCTTTCTCTTTCTGAACCATTTTGTATCTCTTTTCTATGCTCTTTTTTCTTCTCTACATCATTTCATATCTCCATAATATACTCTCCTTGTTTTTTCTATCTTCTGTATTTTTTTCCCAAACAGTATGTAAGAAAAGCAGTAAGAATGTCTCTATTACCGGCGAATTCCTATTTCAATCGGATTTCGAGGATAGTGACTTATTCTTGCTCTTTTACATTTGATTCTGAATAAAGGGGGTAATTGTAGACGAACCTTTATTTATTTCCAAAATTGTAGAGAAACCGTTATGTTACCAATTGTAGAGAAACCTTTACTATGTCTTAATGATTAAAAAGCATAACCTCTTTGAATGTTTCTTTCTTAAAACTTTCATCAAGTTTTCAAAAATATTTTTTTCATTTTTCGCATTTAAGAATTTCAAAATAAAATAGTTATAATATAATAGAGATGTAATAGAGAAAAAGGGTGGGAAGAAGAAAGAATTCCACGACGAACCCCCCACGTTTTTTTTCTAAACTAATGACCTCGAGACTAGATATTTTTTTTGAGAAGGGAAACTCTCCATGTTTTTATAATTTTGATTTTTTTTGTGACCCCCTGATGAGATTTTCACATTTTTTTTCTACAAGGAATGTCGTTTACATGGTGGAGGTCGACTTGCTTTTGGCAAGAAAAACCCTTGAAAAATTTTTCTTTTCTCTCTGTAGATTTTTCGAAGAGCCATTCTGAAACCTGCAGAGAGCTAGTGACATTCTGGTCCATGCAGGCAGGTTGAATATTTTCGAAAGATGAACTACCATGAGATTTTGACCTTCACTCTCATCCACTATGCGCACTGTAGAAATATTATAGTCTACAGCTTCTTTAGCTTATGACATACGGTCCTTTTGTCAATTTCCCGACGATGATAAAAGAATGAAGTGGGAGGGGAGGTTTAAATTGAACCGAGAACTTTTCAACATTTTTCCTTATGGAAATAGAAATATTATAATTAATAATTATAATACAAAGTATTATATTATATTATATTATATTATATTATATTATATTATATTATATTATATTATATTATATTATATTATATTATATTATATTATATTATATTATATTATATTATATTATATTATATTATATTATATTATATTATAAATTATAAACACCCCTTGTTACAAACTATATTAAGTTCTAACATTAAATAAATAACACACACAGCAATATTGTTGTACAAATTGTTATTATTGTTATTAAGGATGAAGCAAATGAAAATTTAAAAAAAAACGAAGAAAAACAAGGATATCCAAGCGGTATGAAAATATATTTTGTGAGAGCGAGTTGAGAACCTTTGGGGGAACCACGCAACTCCGGTGGTCCCGAGAGCCGCGCCGTAGCGAAACAAGCAAATACGCCGTCGGCATTTTTGACAGTGAAATCCAACTAGGTGGGGTCCAACCTTCGATTGTACTCAGCTGTAACTCACTTTATACCAACTTTGCCTCGAAATTACTGCATTTCCGATTTTCCCCCATACCACAAGCCATTCTGGACATTTTATTTTTATTCCCCATCAGCAGGGCTCGAACCAGTGAACGTATTTAAAAATACGGACTTTACGGACCAAAAATGAAAAATTACGGACCAATTACTGACAAAAATATATAAGAGAACATTTTACTTAAAACTATAAATTAGATTTTTTCATAACTAAAAAACATGAAGATGTTTATAATAATTAAAGATAGAGTGATAAAATCATTATCAATTCAATTATTATTTTCAAGAATTTTTAACTAAAATTCTTCTTAAAATCGATTATTTTTAATAATTTCCGAAAAAGTTTTTTGACAATTTTCAAATCCATTTCTTTACAATATTCAATTTTACGAAATTTCTTCAATTACATATATGTATTAGAAAATAAAAACTTCAAATAATATAAAAAAAAAATTCGCAATTAAAATTTCTCAAAAAAAATAATTCCACAGAAATGTTACTTAGTTAAAAATATGAAAAATTCAAATTTTCGAAGACTTGAATCTGAAACCTTTTCAAAATTTAATTATTTCTAAAACTTTACGCTCTGATACTTTTAATATTCAATTATAATCTAAAATTTTAACTAAAATCCATTTTTAAATCAATTTTTATGAGAAAATTCTACTAGAATTTCATTATTATTTTTTGAAAATAATTAAAAGTTTGTGTAGAATTTTATTAATTTTTTTTTTAAATAATTGAATTCTTTTGGAAAATTTTACTAGAATAGTATAGATACCTATTAAAAATCATTGAATTGAGGAAAAATTTTGAAAATAATTGAAATTTTTCCAAGAATTTTATTAAAATTTTTGAAAATAATTGATATTTTGGAGAAGAATTTAATTAATTCTAAAGATAATTGAAATTTTGACGAGAATTTTTAAAAAATTTTGAACATAATTGAATTTTTGCGAAGAATTTTATTTCTTTTGAAAATAATTGAATTCCTTCAATCATTTGTAATTTCTCTAAAATTATCCAAATTATATCGTATAATTTACGTACTTTACGGACCTTTTTCAATCAAATTACGGACATTACGGACCTTTTTTAAAAAAAAAACGGACTTTTACGGACTTCAAGCAAAGTCACGGACTTTTACGGGATTTACGGACTTAGTTCGAGCCCTGCATCAGTTGACGTTATAATTTTTCATTTATTGGAAATTTGTTACAAAATTTATTATTTATATTATTATTCTTATTATCATTATAGGGGAAATTACGAACACTACGTCATGATTACCCCTAAAGTACAATGTCATTTTAAAGTACGCCTACAATAGGTGTAAAAAGCAAGAGCTAGTGCGAACCATTGTGAACGCTCCTTAAGCCTAAATTAGAGAAAAAAGAACAAAAATATCTTCTATCCTTTTCTGTCTCATACAGAAATTTACCGTTTGATTATAAATTAGATTTTAAATTGTGTAACATTAGAGTATAAAATAAAATTAATTATATAATAGTAAATTTAATTAATTTTTTTTATTCAATTTACAGAATTATTTATTATTTAATATTAAATTTATTTATTATAATTAATTTATTAATAATATTTATTATTTTCTGTTAAATTATTATATTAAATTAATTCTTTTTCATTCAATTATTAAGTTTTGTTGAAAGAAAATAAATTTATTTTCTATTTTTCTGTTTTCAGAGGGTGGAAGATTGGAAAAGGAAATGTTGTACGCGGCTGAAATTCTCGGAGAAGCGACAACGTCGACACAACAGCTGGTTATTCAAACGCCCCGGGTGCCAGGGGCAAATGTTTTACAACCTGCGGCCCTGTTAGAACATTTAGAGGTGCTCCAAGTAGCGACACAAGTCACTGTCGATATATATGATATGTAAGTTTTCTTAAAAAGAGAAATTTCTCTAAAGAGATTTTTGTCGATTAGAATTTATTTATTGCTAATATAAAAATACTTCTAAATTAACTAGAAAATAAATTTAAATTCTTTAAATTAGCTCTCAAGTTGATTTAATTATTTTAAATTGAAAATATTGGTAATTAGTTAACAAATAAAGTAATTATTATTTAATAAATAAAATATTCTTTGCATTCAGTAATAATATTTATTCAATAAATAATTACACTGGAGCTTCACTTATTTTCACTAAGTCCAAACAAACTGAAAGGCAAAGTCGCACTTATTTTCACTCTGAAACGTAACATTCGAGTTGATTTGATTGGTGGATTCTTTAACATCAACCAATGAGAACGCACGGAGAACCATTTAACTGAAAATAAGTGAGACTGGAAATGGTGAAAATAAGTGAGACTGAAAATAAGTGAGACTGAAAATAAGTGAAGCTCCAGTGTATTGAAATTTTAATGTATTTTAAAATAAAAAATTCGAAAGACGAGAGTTTTTTAAAAAATAATTATTGAAAATGTTTTTCTATTTATAGAACGTGGAAACTGACTGACTTTTGCTACGCCCCAAGTATACCAAACTTTGAGGAACATTTCGTCGACGAGGTAAATATTTAAACTTTTATTTTATAACAATAAATAAAATATCGAGTCATCTCCCACCTGAGTTGCAATATTTTGACCGCAAGAGAGCTACTGTCGCTAAGAACGTTCAAAACAAAAGAAAAAAATCGTCAGATTTTATAATTATGATATATAATAGCTAATGCATTTGCCCATTGCTTTCTTCTAAGTTAATTCTTTGGAAAACTGTATAAAATAAATGTATCAGTAGGAAATGTATAATAATATAATCTTACAATACTCACTATTAGAACGCCTTGTCTTTTCGAATTTTCCTGAATGATGTTATAGAGAATGCGGTCATTTTTTCTGTATTCCTCACATAGAGTGATTGAGTGAAGTCTCCTTATTTTCTTACTTCTTGGTCGTTGTTTACTTCCTCTTTTTTTTCCTTTTTTGATGAACATAATTTTTACAACTTTTATAACACAACTCTTCATTGTCTCACATTAATTTTAACAATTACTCATTTATTTTCACATCTTGGAGGTTTCGACAACACGTTTGTCATTTCCAATACTTTAAAACAGTTTTTGGTTACAATGAAAACGTGACACAAACAGGTTATGTTTACAAGCATTAAGCTTGGTTCACTGTTGACTAAAATTTTAAGTACTATTCACATTTCAGTTATTTCGTTGTTTATTATTTGTTAAAAATTTCTATATTGATGAAAGTTTTTGTAAAAGCACTTGCAAAAGAGAGAAAGAGGAGAGAGGTGTTAAGAGAGACTAATCCACAATTTCGCGTTGGATCGCGTCACGGGAAACCGGAAGTAGCAGATTAAAGAGTCGCTTCTGGCCGTCTGCTTGAAACACGAGGGGCCCCCAGGTATATTTACTAACGTTCCACAATTTGCGTATAATGACGGGACCACACATGACACGGGGCAAGACGCGACCATGATTCCGAGGCACTATGCAATTATCCAGAACTAATTGCCTACTCAATTATTTTTAGTCGAAACACTCGTCCTCCCGAAAGAAAAAAGAAATATCTATTCCCACTCCTCTATTTTGCCTAATTGTGACGGTGGACAAAATTTTAATTTCATATTCATCGATTTGTGATTCAATAATATAATTAAAAGTTAAAGAAAAAAAATTGTGAAGTCCTCTTTCCCCATCGTGGTTCGGGGGGTGGGGTGGGGGGGAAGAGAGACGAATATGTATGAATGTAACTTGTGTATAGAGTGCGCCCACGTGATACGGTTGGCTGCACTGCCCTCCCGGGTCCCGGGACTCCATCTATCATTCCGGATGAAACGCGTGAGCGGCGAACGAAGGAGCGCGCGCGGATACCAGAGTTCGACGAATTCAAGGGCATTACAAACCAAGAGGCGCCCTCCGGATACTCCAAAGATCCAAAGGGACCCGCTCTTCTCTCAAAGACCTCGGGAATCGATATATGTATTGACCATTTTGTCGTGCTTTCGAACGATACAACGATTTATCGATAGAGGCATCAAAATGAATGGAGAGAGGAGGAGGAGTGGGGGTGGGGGAATATAGACCATTTCATTTCAATTCGGAAGTCGCGAATGCAACCTCATTTGTTATTATTTTAGAGGAAAAAGATGTGCCTGGTGCAAAATTAGTGTCAAATTTAAATGTAGAAACACACAGTCTAGTGGATTTAAAAAGTTAGCTGCCGTGCATAAGTCAACTAAAGAAAAAAAAAAGTTGGTTGCACGGTGAGGTTATGTTTACTATGTATTGTTATTCGATGATGAAATATCAAAAATGCAATAATTACCTCTAACACTTTTATTTATTTATTATTATTATTAGCTTCTTTCACAATTTGATTAACTTTTTATTTTTTTTTTATTAATATTGAATGTAAAAATAGAATAAAAATAAAATAAACTATTGATAGAATAATTCACATGTCCTTAACTTTTTTCATTTAGTTTATTCCTGTATGTGTTTCAATCATTGTATACTCAATTTTTATGCAACATATAATAATTTAGAACACTTTTTATAATTTTTTTCACATCTGAATAATACAACAACTGTAAACAAGGCAGAAACTTGAAACGGAAGTTCCATTCCATATAACGCATGCGCAATAGAAATGAAATGAAAAGGTCTATTCGGATTCAATATGGCGGCCAAATTTTTAGTTAATTAACGGATTCTTTCGAAAATCGTTACATCGAAATTTTTGGGGTCGTAGATTACAAATTTAACATCAGATTTTCAAAATTCAAAATGGCGGTCGAATTTTTAAATAATTAACGGATATGCTTAAAAATTGTTATTCAGGGGTTTTTAAGGTCGTTGATGACGAATCTAATATCAGATTTTTAAAATGCAAAATGGCGGATTCAATATGGTGGTCGAATTTAAAATAATTAACGGGATTGGTACAAAAATCGTAACTCGGGGATTTTCGAGAATGTTGATTACGAATCTGATATCAAATTTTCAAAATTCAAAATGTCGGACATAATTTGTCAATATTATAATGTTTAGATATTGCCCAAAGCAGGAGAAAATTACCCCCACTCTTTTTTCCTCGTCAATTTTATAATTGTCATCACTGTTGAGTGATGTGATGTGTTCATTAAGAAAAGAAGGAAAAAAAGAGCCGACAGATATGAAAATTTTGGCAATTACCATTTATTTTTATGGAAAACGATATTTCATATCCGAAGGGGATTTAAGTAAAATATGCAAATCAAAATGATATTGAGTGGATCGTTATATGTCTGAAAGTCATTTCTCTCTCTCTCTCTCTTCCTCTTTTTTCCAATTTCTGATTATGTATTTATATAATTTTTTTCTCTCTCTCTCTCTCTTTTTTTGTTTGAAAAATGATTCCTAGAGGCTAGAAATTGTTATTTGGGCGTGTCGTTATAAGAAAAGTGGAGTTATCGTTTTGGAATAAGACGGGAATGTGAGGATGAGGCGCCCTATTCCCCATTCCAAGAACGCGCAGGTGGTCCCCCCATCCTGGGCCTGTCGTGACCAGAAAACCCGAAACGACTTTATAGCCCAGCCCTGGAGGATACCCTCTCGGTTCGGCTGCCACGCGCTTCCGAAATGGCTCTGACGAGGGCCTGCTTTTTCAAATTTATGCAACTTGACGCATCGAAACAGTCCTTTTATGGACCTTATAAAAGAATGGAGTCGGAGAGTAAATTTAAGATCCACATTAACATGAAAAATCGCTTCGAGTCGATGAGTAAATACGTCCTTCTTATTTTTTTTTTATTTTCTTCTTACCCCTTTTTTTTCATTTTTATTATTTCTTTGGTATTCTCTTTTCTTTATTTTACTGCAAAAAAGAAAGAAAAAAAAGAACTTTATAACAAAAGAAAGAATTTATATAAATTGCCATTTTCGTTAACTGCTTGTAAAATTATATTATTATATTCTTCCATCAAACTTGGTTTTGAAATGAAATATTTTTATTGCATCATTTTGGTATTATGTTAGTATCCGGTATAATTTCAAATCTGTATCTTTTTTCTTTTGCAATCTCCTTTTTTCAGCTGTTATTAAATCTTTTAATTTTCCGTTACAGTTTATTTAAATTTTTATATCCCAGTTAGGAAGGCCAGGATTAAAATTATTAATAAATAAAATAGTATTTTTTGTTACAGATTTTTGAGCGAATTGTTCCTTGTTCGATAATCACACCTCTGGACTGTTTTTGGGAGGGAAGCAAACTTTTAGGACCCACCGATCCAGTTTCAATGTAAATTAATAATAAATACTATTAAAAAAATCAATGAATAATAAAACTTGAATAAAAATAAAAACTAAACAACATGAATACAAAAAAATGCTAATAAGTAATAATAATTGAGTTTATTTTTGTGATTTTAGAGGATTTCCGACAACAAATGTTCTTAAATGGACACATTTGAATCCTACTCGTTTATTGAAGGAGATAAAAAAAATGAATGTAGTTTTCGATTTCGATACATTGGAAATCTACATGAAAAGGGCGGGCATTACGTATGGATATCAAGAAAAACCGTGCTTGAATCCCGAGGACAGCGAATGTCCTCAATCGGCGCCAAATAAAGAAACACTATTGGTAAGTCAAAATTCGTCTATGGGACATAATTTGGAAAAAAAATTTATATTCTCAAAAAAAAAACTTATTCAGAAAAATAATTTTTGTTTAATTGCTGGAGGTCTTTTTTTGTCACTAGGGGTTGAAAGTAGTCATTTTACAAATTAGATTTGATGGAAAGTGAATTTTCTTCCTCTAGGGCTTGAAAGTAGTTATATTAGTCCCTAGGTTTAGAGAAAAGTTAATTTTCCCTTCTACGGCACGATGAAAGAAAGTAGTTATTTTAGACCCTAGGATGGTAGAAATGTTGAATATCCACTAGGGGTTGAAAGTAGTCACTTTACCAATTAGATGTGCTGGAAAATTAATTTTTTTCCTCCAGGGCTTGAAAACCTAAAGCGTAGGGGCTAAAATAACTATTTTAGTCCCTAGGTTTAGAGAAAAGTTATTTTTCCCTCTACGGCATATGAAAATAGTTATTTTAGCCCCTAGGGTTGTAGAAAGGTGAAATAACCCTCTAGAGGCTAAAAGTAGTCTTCTTTACCAGTAACATTAACGAGAAATAATTTTTCCCTCTAGTTGTTGAAAATAGTTATTTTAGCCCCTATGGACGCCTTTTTGGTGACATTGCCATGGCCTTTATTGTTTCGATGAAATTTATTTTGCTGAATCTTTTTAGTGCCATTTTCGAACTATATTCGTTTGATGCGATATTTTTCCACTTTTCGTTTTTTTTTCTGCGGCAAATTTATAAAATCGAGATAAAAGATTAAAATTTCACACTGTTTGCTTTGCGGTTATGAAACTGATGATAACGATTCTTGCATATGCGTGTACCATTGGTGGTTCTTGTTTCGGTTTTCAAGCTCAATAGGAGTAAAAGAATATATTATATACATGTGTTAGCGGTGTAATGACACGAGAGAAGTGTATTTGAAAAGTTTGCAAGTATTTGTTCTCGTGTATGTATATGTTAATGCAAGTGAAATGACGAGTGCGTAATATGCTGGCGGTGTGCGCACCCGACCACCGGCGTAGCGCAATAATGACGCACATCTCTCGATTTTATTATTTTAATGCTCAACCGGCGACCCACGCGACTCGCATACTCATACGCCAAATTCGCCCGGGGGTTGCGTTTCCAGACGGCCACATTAAATACAATGAGAAAAAGAGAGAGAGAGAGAGAGAGAGAGAGAGAGAGAGAGAGAGAGAGAGAGAGAGAGAGAGAGAGAGAGAGAGAGAGAGAGAGAGAGAGAGAGAGAGAGAGAGTAGAAAATCCAAAAACCAAACCAGAAATAATATCGACCACCCATTCCAATTTTCAACCAGTTAATCTCTTCATTTAACAATCTTCACATTTCATTCCACTTTTGCAATTATTTCCCTTTTCTCTTATTGCTTCTTTTCTACTTGATTTTTTATTCTGTAACGTTCAAAATCCCCTAGGGATATGTTTCAAGCGTATTTACTTAACTTTAACAATTTTGTCCGCCATATTGGACCCGCCATTTTGAATTTTCTTAATTCAACTTTCGCTTTGCTATTGTAGCTATTATGTTAGAATTATGCAGAAATTTATTAACACTAAAGCAACAAAACTATTTATTTTCACCAATATTATATATTTTATATTATATATATATTTAATTTTCTAACCCAAAAACTAAAATTGTAATTTAATTTTTATCGCAGTCGCAATTCACGATTGTTAAAATTTTGTTAGTGGATTGGCGAAAGATTATTTTTTTCGAAATCTTAATTGCAGCGTCGTTCTCGGTAATATTTTTGTGAAGGTTTAATTAAATATTTATTACTTGCTTCCCTTGCGGAGTCGAGAGAGAGAAAGTTAAACATCAAAGCGCTAAGCGAAAACTACTCGCGCACGCAAGGCGCATCGATTTCATCGGCAGAATTCCAAGTGGTCACTTGGCATTCAAAAATAATCGTCGATTCGAGCCTCTGATTGTATTCCCCGATTATCATCCTTCCAATGATGTGAAATTTTACAGTAGTCCCTCGATAAACGATCACTTTATAATTTTCCCAATCATTAAAAAGATTTAAGGAATGTAATCAAAACAATATACCTTGACAATGATAAAAATAAGATTTACCCTAAAAATATCACCAAAAAGACTTACCCTAAGAATGTCATCAAAAAGCCTTATTCAAAAAATATTATCAAAAAGACTCACCCTAAAAATCTCATCAAAAGGATGTATCACAACAATGTCACCAAAATCGCTTATCCCAAAAATATCATCAGAAAGACTTACCCTAAAACTATCATCAAAACAATATACGCCGGTAATGTCACCAAGAAGAATTACCACGAAAATATCATCAAAAAGACTTACCCTAAAACTATCATCAAAACAATAAACGCCTGGCAGTGTCACCGCCAAAAAACTTACCCCAAAAATATCATCAAAAAGAGTTACCCTATTAATGTCATCAAAAAGACTTACCCTAAAACTGTCATCAAAATAATAAACGTCTGGTAATGTTACCAAGAAGACTTACCCCAAAAATATCATCAAAAAGACTTACCCTAAAACTGTCATCAAAATAATAAACGTCTGGTAATGTCACGAAAAAGACTTACCCCAAAAATATTATCAAAAAGACTTACCCTAAAACTGTCATCAAAATGATAAACGTCTGGTAATGTCACCAAGAAGACTTACCCCAAAAATATCATCAAAAAGACTTACCCTAAAACTGTCATCAAAATAATAAACGTCTGGTAATGTTACCAAGAAGACTTACCCCAAAAATATTATCAAAAAGACTTACCCTAAAACTGTCATCAAAATGATAAACGTCTGGTAATGTCACCAAGAAGACTTATCCCAAAAATATCATCAGAAAGACTTACCCTAAAACTATCATCAAAACAATATACGCCGGTAATGTCACCAAGAAGAATTACCACGAAAATATCATCAAAAAGACTTACCCTAAAACTATCATCAAAACAATAAACGCCTGTAATGTTACCAAGAAGACTTACCCCAAAAATATGATGAAAAAGACTTACCGTAAAACTGTCATCAAAATAATAAACGTCTGGTAATGTTACCAAGAAGACTTACCCCAAAAATATTATCAAAAAGACTTACCCTAAAACTGTCATCAAAATGATAAACGTCTGGTAATGTCACCAAGAAGACTTACCCCAAAAATATCATCAAAAAGACTTACCCTAAAACTATCATCAAAACAATAAACGCCTAGTAATGTCACGAAAAAGACTTACCCTAAAAATATCATCAAAATGACTTACCCTAAAACTATCATCAAAACAATAAACGCCTGGTAATGTCACCAAGAAGACTTATCCTAAAAATATCATCAAAAAGCCTTAACCAAAAAGTATTTATCAAAACAATAAACGCCTGTAATGTCACTAAGAAGACTTACCACAAAGATATCATAAAAAAGCTTTAACCCAAAAGTATTATAAAAAAAATCACTCTAAAAATGTTATTAGAAAAATTATAATTATTTGATTTCTAGACTTGGAATCATTAGGTTCAACATAAGTAGAAATTCGAGATTATTCCAGATTTGATATAATAGAGGTGTTATTGTTTATTGTATTAGCCTTAAAAGTTCTGGGTGGAATCAGAATCAATGGCGGTGAACGTAACAAGTTTAACTCGATCATTAGTCGTGTGCACCTGTCGTTGATTCATATACTAAGTATCTACACTATGTGCCACTGTTTTTTACTTGTGATGTGTGCTCTCATCTTGGAATGAAGTTATCAGAGGAAACAGCTGCAAACCTTTTTGCCTAAAGGGTAGTTCATCTTTCTCCTCTTGTGCCTCATTTTCTGTTTCTTTCTTTTTTTTTTGCTTCATTTTTTTCTGTTCTTTTTGCTCCAGGGCAATTCTGTCCTCTCTTCTCTCCTGCTATCGAGCACCTTTCCCCTGCGGAGAATGCCTCTTCAATCGTGCAATCCAAGCGCCTTATAATGACCCTAAGTCCTAGCTACTTAATTGCTTGGATGATCAATTAAAAACTAGTTTCGGTAGCTGTAAACTCAACTCAATGTTCACCTGTCAAGACATCTAGTGTCTCATTAGTCATTCAATACTCTTTTGAGGTTATCAAAAAAATTTCCAAAAAGTTAATCTTATTAACTATGTGGTTAATTTGCGGCTACCGGTATGCTTGAATTATGTCTCGGTGTTTTGTTTTCTGATGGCAAGTTCCTGGTTGGAATTGTAATTACAAGTTTCGAATTTCAATCAGGAATTAATTAGTTAGATACACAAATATAGGAACAAAAGAGTATCCCAAAGATAACGTTATAGATATTTTTTTCTTTATGGAATCAAAAATGTGATTGTAGTTTGAAATTACAAGGATTTGGATTTGGATTACAAGGATTATGAGAGCTGTGGAATGTGGAAAGATTTTTGAATGTTACGCCAGTGGTTGATGCATAAGCCGTAGGATAATCAAGTTGGGTGGGCCTCGTCGGTGCTTTCAGTCTACTCTCTGGCATGCGGGTGTCACCCCGCTAGAGTCTTTCCATTGTAACCGATTGGATCCAGGATCCAGTCTTCGCTCTCGAGCGGTAGTTCTCTCTCCCTCTCTCTCTTTCTCTCGGTAAATAAACACATCATCTCAAGTCGCACATTCCAAGCTGTCACCTCGTCAAACTTTTCACTTTGAAATTTCACATCATCCCTTCATTCAAATTGAATTTAATATTGTTGTCAAATTCCAGACAAGCTTCATTCAAGAAAATAATTATAATCTTTTAATTGATTACCGTTTTTTAAGTCAGCAATCTGCTACTAGATATCAGGAAGTCAGTAATACTTGTGTAAACAGAAACCGTCATCTTTTGACCATCCATTTTTTGTAGGACATCGTCGAGGTAATTCAAGTAGCTGATGTTCTATACTAACGGCAGTCTTGGTCATATTTGTGATAAAAGACTCTTTCCTTGTATCAACGATTTTTAGCCGAAGACTTATATTTCTCATTTTTGAAGATGTAATTTGAAAATCTCATCAGGAAGTCTCATTGCAAAATAATTATCAAAAAGACTTACCCTAAAACTGTCATCAAAACAATATAGATCTGTAATGTCACCAAGAAGAGGTATCTAAAAAAAACGTCAAAAAGACTTACCCTAAAAATGTGATCAAAATGATATATACCGATAATGTCACCTAAATGATTATATACGGACAAAGTCATCAAAAACACTTACCCAAAGATTGTCATCTAGACGATATGTTGTGCTAATGTCATTAAAAAGACGTACACCAAAAATATCATCAAAAAGACTTACCCTAAAACTGTCATCGAAATGATATTCACTGACAATGACACCAAAATGATTAAATACCGAAAATCTCATCATAAACACTTACCCTAAGATTGCTATCTAAACGAAAAACTGTTACAATGCCTCCAAAAAGAGGCAAACCAAAAATATCATCAAAAAGACTTACCCTGAAAATGTCATCAAAACAATAAATCTTGACAATGATAAAAAGACTTACCCCAAAAATATCATCAAAAAGACTTACCCTAAAACTGTCATCAAAAATCCTTATCCAAAAATATTATCAAAAAAACTCACCCTAAAGATGTCATCAAAGCGATGTATCACAACAATGTCACCAAAATCACTTACCCCAAAAATATCATCAGAAAGACTTACCCCAAAACTATCATTAAAACAATATACGCCGGCAATGTCCCCAAGAAACTTACCCTAAAAAAATCATCAAAGTGATATATATCGACAATGTCACCAAAAATACTTACCCTAAGATTGACACCTGAACAATATAACAACACCATCCAAAAGATTTACCCCAAAAATATCATAAAAAGCCTTAACCCAAAAGTATTATCAAAACAATAAACGCCTGTAATGTCACCAAGAAGATTTACCCCAAAAATATTATCAAAAAGACTTACCCTAACACTGTCCTCAAAATGATATACGCATTACACTTAGAGCTGATTCATAGTCAAGTATTCTTACTGTATACCGATAATGTCATAAAAAATTTGCCATTTAGACGATAAATCGAGACATCGCCACCAAGAAGATTTACCCTAAAAATATCATCAAAAAGACTTACCCTAAAACTGTCATCAATACAGTATATACGCCGGTAATGCTACAAAGATGACTAATACCAAAAATATCATCAAAAAGACTTACCCTAAAACTGTAATAAAAACAATATATGCTAGCAATGCTACCAAGAAGACTTATCCCAAAAATATCATCAAAAAGACTTCATCTAAAAATGTCATCAAAAAGACTTCCTCTAATAATGTCATCAAAAAGACTTCCTCTAATAATCTCATCAGAACAAAGTCTGGATTTTTCTGCAAATAGTTTGATAGAGTTGTAATTCCAAAAGGTTTCTATAATGGCTATCGAATTTATTTTATTCACTCTCTTTTTAATTTCGCAACACATTCTCGCAACGAATTAGAAAGAACATTATCATACTCAATGATAAAATCTTTACTAAATTATGATTTATTTTTGTAGCCCCCTGATATTGGAACGGAATTGACTGGCGGTTGTTATGGATTTGCGGCAAAGCACATGCACTGGCCAGAGGAATTGGTCGTCGGTGGGGCGAAGCACAATAAAACCGGGCACATCACTAAGGCAGAGGCTTTACAAACAGTCGTTCAATTGATGGGCGAAAGAGAATTCTACGACTACATGAATAATCACGCGAAAGTTCGTCACATCGATTGGTCGCAGGAGAAGGCCACAAAGATCCTCGAAACATGGCAACGAGCCTTTAGCCAAGTTGTGCAACAACGTCTTCATCTGAACATCACCGAGGACTATAATCATTACGCATTTAGTACAATCACTCTAAACGATATTCTCAAAAAGTACAGTGAAGTCAATTACACTGCTGTCATTATCGGTGGAGCAATTATTGTAAGTATTCAAAAAAAAAAAAAAATTTCCCAACTCTCTCACAATTGAAAATTCCATTTGATTCTAAAATTTGAATTCTCCTTTACAGTTCCTCTATGTTGGAGTGGTTCTCTATCGACGGGGTGATCCAGTGCGTTCCCAATCGGGAATTGGAATTGGAGGCGTGATCCTCGTGTACGCTGCCGAAGCATCGGGTCTGGGTTTTTGCGCCATCATTGGAACACCCTTTAATGCAGTGACAACGCAAACATTGCCCTTTCTCAATGTCGTACTTGCTGTTTCGGATATTTTCCTCTTAACCCACACTTACAGTGAATTATCAATGACTGGCGTGCATCGCAGTGAACAAACGGGTGTGATTCTCAAACGTACCGGACTCGTGGTTTTTCTAACTCGTCTTTGCTCGGGTGTTGCATTCTTTTCGTCCTGGCTGATTCCAATTCCAGCTCTGAGGATATTCGCTCTCCAGGCGGGTATTTTGAATCTCTTTGGACTGGCGGCGATAATGCTCATCTTCCCGGCAATGATGAGTCTCGATTTACGACGCAGACGTTCCGGACGTTCGGATATATTTTGCTGTTGCGTTCCCTCAGTGTCGACGGAAATTAAAATTCACAACAATAAATTGTGCAACGTCAAGGCAAAACAGGCTGTGACCAGGGCGATACCACCAGAACGACGTGAGACTTGTACGCAAATTTTGACTTCGGACAATCAACAGAATGAGTATTGGGTCGGTGGGAATGTGGTTGAGGATGATAAATGCTCCGAGGAGGACACCTTAACGGGATGCTCACAGGATAATTGTCTTAGATTCTCGTTAACGTGTTGGGTTAGAGAGATCTATGCTCCATTCCTCACGAAACCAATTACGAAAGTAGTGGGAATGGTTCTTCTCGGTCTGATCCTAACGGTGAGTCTTTGGCAAGCGACGAGAGTTAAGGATGGCTTGGATCTCGCTGATATTGCGCCGCAAAATTCCGACGAACACGCATTTCTCACGGCTCAAACAAAACACTTTGGTTTCTACAGTATGTTTGCTGTTACCGGCAGCGATATCGAGTATCCGTACAAACAAAAATTACTCCAAGATTATCACGATGCGTTCATACGAGTGAAGAATATCATCAAAAACGACAATGGTGGTCTACCGGAATTTTGGCTCAGTCTCTTCAGAAAATGGCTTCAAGGTCTGCAAGCAGCCTTTGACAAGGACTACAAGAAAGGTTACGTGAACGTCGAGGGATGGAATAAGAACGCATCACACGATACAATAATGGCTTATAAACTCCTCGTTCAAACCGGCCACGTTGGTAATCCCATTGATAAATCGTTGATAAATCAAGTCCGTCTAGTTAGCTCCGAAGGGATAATAAATCCCAGAGGATTTTACAATTACCTCAGTGCTTGGGCTTCGAACGATGCTCTCGCTTATGGCGCTTCTCAAGCCAATATTCGACCAATGCCAAGGGAATGGTTCTTCAGTATCGATCATGAATTGAAAATTCCCAAAAGTATGTCAATTGTTTACGCTCAAATGCCCTTCTATCTGCACAAACTCACCGACACTGTTGAAATCACACAAATGATACACAGTGTGAGAAAAATATCAAAACGCTTCGAGGAACGTGGTCTACCAAATTTCCCCTCTGGAATTCCATTTTTGTTTTGGGAACAATATATGGACTTGAGAGCGTGTCTAGCCTACGCCCTAGGCGCAGCTTTATTCGTAATTACCATAATTACATCAATTCTCCTAATGAATCTCTGGGCGGTTGTACTTGTGCAATTTTACCTGGCCGGAGTTGTTATTCAACTCCTCGGCATCATGGGACTATTTAACATAAATCTAAGTGCCGTACCAGCTGTTCTTTTAATAGTAAGCGTTGGTATTTCAATTCCATTTGTTGTTCATTTCTGTTTGGGTTTTGTGACAAGTATCGGTGGTCGTGATAGACGAACAAAACTTGCGCTGGAATATTCATTTGCACCGGTATTACACGGCGGTATGACGACACTATTATCAGTGATGATGTTGGCCTTCTCTGAATTTGACTTTGTTGTGCGTTATTTCTTTTTGATATTATTCAGTGCCGTTATTGTCGGTATGGTGAATGGTTTCTTTTTCTTTCCAATTTTACTCTCATTAATTGGACCGCAGGCGGAGATAATTCCAAATGAACATCCCGAGAGGATATCGACGCCAACGCCACCAGCGACGCCAATCATTAGAAGAATTAAAGCACCGTCTGCACCAAGGCGTCCACATAAAATTGAGAATACAAGGGTGCATAATGAACCTTCATTGACGACAATCACGGAGGAACCAAATTCATGGCACAGTACACAGGAGTCGTGTAATATTATCGTTCAACCTGAAGTTACAGTTGAGACAACGACGTCGTCGATATGCAATAATCAGGTAAGGATCAGCATTCTTCTTACTTTTTTTCATACTTTCCATAAAGTCATTTCCAAAAGCTAATGAAATCTATAGACTTTATTACTTTGGACGACGACACCCCAAACAGCCAAAAAGTTTGTAGCAAACTTTTTAGCTGAGAATATGAGAATTTTCGATAAGTTTGCATGTCTAACGAGTGCGTTTTCTTTTTGTTTTGACTAACAGAACTGTAGCGGATCTGATCCGAATGGATCTAATACGTCATCTATGCCATCAACGTCACATATCACAACTAAAGTCACAGCCACTGCCAACATCAAAGTTGAACTTCACACCAGTGAGTATTAATTCTGAAGAAATTTTTTAAAAACTTGATTATTGGTTGTCAATTGTATAAAATTTCATATCACTTATATTCATAATATAATTTTTTGATACTTCTTTACTATTTATATATAAAACGTCGCCAAACCGGAAGGAAGGCATTAATGCATTTGACCGTATTGTACAGGTAACTGCATATATGCTGTCCTTACGGTTTGCACACCTTTTTGAAAACCGCGTCATTTCTATTATAATTTTTAGTTCGTGGCTAAAATAATAAACTTTGCAACTATTCTGACTGCAATGTTAACATAACCTAACATTTCTTTCAATCTAGACTGAAGGGACTGAAGAAATGCATGTTTCCTGCATTAGTTTTTATGTTCATTAACACGTTTGCAATCTAATTTTAAAATAACAATTGACAACCCGGTAATTACTGAAAAATGTATAAAAATTCCTCGTAATTAGAGTCAACAATTAAAAAAAAAAAATTGTTTTACTAATTATTTATTTAAACCACTGTTGTAGGTGGAATTGATCGTGGAGACAAGTGTCGACACTCAAGTTCCAGCCGAAGGGGCGCTCGCTTTACTACGAATCTTACTGCGGAATCTTCCAGTTCAAGTTCCGAGCATGATTCTGACTTTAGCTCAAACAATAAACACTAGAAACGACCGGCAGCTACTGCTCAAGTACCACGCAAAGCGAGAACACACAGAAGGCTGATTAGGTTAGATTTTTAATAATTATAATTATAAATAATACTAAATAATCACTTTATAAGTAATTCGACGAAATTTCGCTTTGTTCTATTTTATAGTTCGAAGCGAAAATAAAAAAGTATTATTTCAATGAAAGAAAGGAAAAATTTCTTTCTTTCTTTCTTTCTCACAGTAAAAAATATGGGTGTTGTTCTATTCTTGAGAAAGAATTTTTATCAAAAAAGCTTGCTTCTTCTTTGAACAATTTTTTTAATAAAAATAAATTTTTTTTTTAAATGATAAACTTAAAAATACTTGCAAAAAACAACTTTTGCAAAAGAAACACTTTTGTAATAAAACACATTAAAAAAAAAATTTTTTCATACAGTGAAAGTGTTAATCTTTCAAAAAGTAGAAAGTTTATTAAAAAAAAAATTAACGTATTTTTAAATAAAAGAAAAAAAAAGTTTTTCTTGTTAGACAAAATGAAGCTTTAAAAAAAATAATGTTTCAAAAAGAAAGTACACTTTTTGAAGCTATTTTGTTTATTTTATCAACTAAAGTAACAAAAACTCAAATAATTGTATCGAAATTTAATAATTTTCTGGAAATGCTAGAAAAGCGTCGTTATATTCTTCGATTGTTGGAAGATGTGAGATCAGCTGTTCATATTGACGGCGGCCATTTTATGCGCACGACCATCACGTGACGAAAAAAATACGCAATTCTCTCTCTCGTCACGTGATTTTAATTTTATTTCAAAAATGTTTATTTTTTTCGACAAAAAAAAGAATAAAAATTGTTTCTTTCAAATTTTTTTTTAATTTAAAAAAATTTAATTTTAAATAAAAAAAATAATTAAAAAATTGTAAAAAAGAAGATAAATTTTAAAAAACTGTTTCTTGAAGAAAATTTTTTTTGAATTTTTTAATTTAGAAGAAAAAAAGTTTTTTCTTCGCATTAACAAGAATTTGAAGTATATTGCTAATTTTTAAATTCTGTAAAATTAGTTTTTTTTTCGTAAATAAATGAACGTTTTTTTTCATTCTTTTCTGTAAATTTCTGAATCTTAAAGATAGTTTTATGTCAACGAAGGCCTTGTGAGGTTGAGAAATGTAAATATATATTTTAAAATTTAGAAAGAGGTGCGAAACTAGTAAAAAAAAATTTTTTTGTTACCAATGGCAGTATCGAGTTTCTTTTCAAGGACTTCAGGGTAGAATATAGAAATTTGTTAAAAAAAAATATTTTCAAACTTAAAACCGATTAAAAAAAAATTTTTTTTTTTTTTTTTTTCATTTTCTTGAATAACATTTTTTTCTAACAATTAAAAGAAAACGAAAATCTAAAATGAGGATTAAATTAAATTTAAAAAAGGATTAAAACAAAAATTAAAATTAATGGAAAATTTTAATAAAAATTAAAATAAACATTAAAGTTAAAATTAAAATAAAGATGAAAATAAGAATTTAAATGAAAAATTGAAAGAAAAGTTAAAATGAAACTTTAAATAAAAATTGCAATAATGGTAAAATTTTGTAATTATAAATTAGAACTGTAGTAAGTAATATATTATAAAAAAAAAATTATGAAAATAACTTTTTTTCGGTTTTAAGTTTGCGTTTTCTTTGGCAAAAAAGTACTTGAAAGATTTTTCTTTTTAATCATAAAAAAAGCGTTAAAAATGCAAAACTTGTATTATAATATATGAAAAGGAATGAAACAATATTTTAAACAAGAAAAAACAAAAAAAAAAGAAAGAAAAAAAGGAAAAATGACTAAAGAAAAATGCCATTAAGTGACCGGATTATAAGAAAATAGAAAAAATGTAGCACCTTATTTATTATATGCCAACATTAATGAATGATTGTGACTCGAGTAAATGTAATTTCAAATATATTTATTATTTATTCCATGAATTCTCCTCGATTTTTAATAATGTATTTAAGAATTGTAAATTTGTATTTATGTCTGCGTAGATAATATAATTTTATATATACATATACATATATATATATATAAATGAATTCTAAAGACGATACTTAATTTAATAAAATAAGTGTCCTTAGCCGAATCGTACCTCTAAATGTAAAAAGTTGTAATTTTTGTTTTAATTCTCTTTTTGTTCTTTAAATCTTTAAAAAAAAAATAAAAAAAACCTACTTTTAATTTGTCGTAAGCCGTAGACAAAAACTACTTTATACAAAGTCATTGTATACAAAAATTTAGTCTCTAAGAGTGGTATTTAAAAAAAAGGGACCACGTCAAATTTTTAAAAAATTAGTAATTAAAATATATATATTAAAATTAAAAATTTTTTTTCCTCTATTAAGGCAATTTTATCGTTAGAATTTCTAGTCTTTAAATTATCAGTTGATTTTTCCATCAAAGATCATTTTTTTTAAAGTTTTATTGCAAAAGAAAATGTTTCAAAAAAAAAAAAAATGAAAAATAGAGAAAAAGACATAAATTTTCTCTCGACTGATAATATTAGAAAAAATTGTCGAATATTTATGAGAAAATTAAAAAAAAATACAAAAATTAAAATTAAAAATTTACGGAAAAAAATTTTTTACAAAATCGATTCTTAAGGAACAATAATTTTTTTAAGATATAGGAATGTAAAGCTTTAAAGTATTCAAAGTATTTTTGTAAAAATAAATTTCATTGAAAAACTGATTTAAAAAAGAAAATTCGAAAATCAGTAATTGATGCACAAAAAAATATCTTTGGAAAAAATCAAAGAAAAAAAAAAAGAATAAAAATAGAGTATACAAATAAATAATTTTGTGAAATATTAAAATTTTATGTGAAAAAAAAATATTGATGGAAAATGTGAATATAAATTTTAGTGCAAAAACAAAATATATAATTGAAAATTGCTTTTTGGAAATTTGAAGTGGTTCTAATCAAAGATCTGTCTTATAATTAAACTTTAGAACTATGTATTATAGAAACCAGAGAGCGATTTTTTTTCTAATTTTGAAGAAGGAAATAGTCAATATCTACCTTCACTATGACGGTTAAGTTGCACCATGACTTAATATTTTAATTAATTTAAATAAGGAAGGTAATTATTTTTACGAATCGATGATACGGAGAGTTAATAATTGTATAATGCATTGAAATTTTTTTGTACATAAATATATCGACATTGTAATAAAAAAAAAATATTGTGTTTATTTTTAATATATTCCCCAAAACATTTTTGTAATATTTTAATACCTTTTTAGTATTTACGATTATTTTTAAACATTCATAATTTATAATATATTTTGAAAAAAGTATATACTTTTTAATAATAATAATAATAATAATAATAATAATAATAATAATAATAATAATTATTATTATTATTATTATTATTATTATTATTTAATTATTATTTTGTTCAGTTTTTATTTATTTAGTTTTTCTTCAGTGAAATGCTGAAAAATGTACAATGTTTTAGTCTGGATGAATTTTTTTTTAAAATTTATTAAATTCGCCGAAATTCAAGTGAATTTTTAAAACTTCTTCCCTGACATTTTGATTTTTGCAAATCAGACTTCAAATTCGTAATCAGCGACCCCAAAAACCCCCGAGTAACAAGTTTCAAGCTAATCCTCCTAATTAAACAAAATTCCGCCATATTGGATCCGCCATTTTGAATTTAGCAAATCAGATTTTTTGGGCGTTTTTGTGATTTTTAATCCCTAAAACAGCAAGTTAGACAAAAATAAAAAAATAGGTATCAAATATTTTTCAATTCTCTACGAAATCGTCCAAGATAGAAAGCCAAATCTTATTTGACATACATAATAGTCATTTGATATACATTATTTGACATAAATTATTATTATTATTAATTATTATTTTCAAGAATTTTTAACTAAAATTCTTCTTAAAATCGATTATTTTTAATAATTTTCGGAAAAGTTCTTTGACAATTTTCAAATTTATTTGTTTAAAATATTCAATTTTACGAAATTTCAATTTTATTCGTAAATTCTTTAATTAAATATATATTAGAAAATAAAAACTTCAAATAATATAAAAGAAAACCGCAATTAAACTTTCTCAAAAAAAAAATTAATTCCACAGAATTGTTAGTTAAACATATGAAAAATTCAAATTTTCAAAGATTTTAATCTGAAACCTTTTCAAAATTCAATTATTTCTAAAAATTAACGCTCTAATGCTTTTAATATTCAATTATTATCTAAAATTTTAACTGAAATTCATTTTTAGTCAATTTTTATGAGAAAATTTTACTAGAATTCAATTATTTAAATACTAAAAAAAAATTATTTAAATAATTGCATGTTTCTTAAAATTGAATTCTCATAAAGAATTTTATTAATAAATTTTTAAATAATTGAATTTTTTTGAGGAATTTTAATAAAATATTTAAGAATAATTACATTTTTCGAGGAATTTGATTAAAAATTGTATTAAAAATGATGAGTTTTATTTTTTTCAAAATAATTGAATTCCTAATAAAAAGTTTATTATTTACCAAAATAATTGAATCCCTGTAAAAATTTTAGTATTTATAAAAATAATTGAATGATTGCGAAGAAATTTATAAAAAAATTTGTAAATAATGAAATTCTTGTGAAATTTTTATTATTTTGGAAATATAATTAAAGTGTAGAATTTCATTAAATTGCTTTTTAATACTTAAATTCTTTTAGGAAAATTTTATTAGAGAATAGTAGATGCCTATTAAAAATCATTAAATTCAGGAAAATTTTTGAAAATAATTGAAATTTTGCCAAGAATTTTATTAAAATTTTTTTGAAAATAATTGAATTTTCGAGAAGAATTTAATTATTTCTAAAGATAATTGAAATGTTGACAAGAATTTTTTTTTAAATTTTTGAAAGCAATTGAATTTCTTAGAAGAATTTTATTATTTGAAAATATAATAATTGAAATTTTGACGAGAACTTTTTTAAAAAAAATTAATTTTACAGAATTCTTAGTTGAAAAGTATGAAAATTCAGATTTTCCAAGATTTTAATTTAAAACCTTTTCAAAATTCAATTTTTTCTAAAATTTCATGCTCCAATGCTTTTAATATTCAATTATTATCAAAAATTTAAAAAAAAAATGAATTTTTAAATCAGTTTTGATTAGAAACTTATACGAGAATTCAATTATTTAAATACCAAAATAAATAATTTATCGAATAACATGAATGTTTATTAAAATTGAAATCTCAATTCAATTAAAATTCTCAAAGAATTTTATTAACAAATTTTTAAATAATTGAATTATTTTTTAATGAATTTTAATAAAATTTTTATGAATAATTACATTTTTCGAGGAAAATGAATAAAATTGTTTAAAAAATAATCAAAATTCTGCCATACTTTTTTTTTATTTATGAATATAATTGAATTATGGCTAAGAAATATTTATAAAATTTGTAAATAATTGAATTTCTGTGAAATTTTTATTATTTTGTGAAAATAATTAAAGGTTTGTGTAGAATATTATTAAAAGTTTTTTTTAAATAATTGAATTCTTGTGGAAAATTTTATTTGAATAATAGATACCCATATTAAAAATTGAATTGAGGAAAGTTTTTGAAAATAATTGAAATTTTGACAAGAATTTTATTAAAATTGTTGAAAATAATTGAATTTTGGAAAAGAATTTAATTATTTCTAAAGATAATTGAAATTTTTACAAGAATTTTATTAAAATTTTTGAAAATAATTGAATTTTAGGAGGAGAATTTAATTATTTCTAAAGATAGTTGAAATTTTGACAAGAATTTTATTAAAATGTTTGAAAATAATTGAATTTTGGAGAAGAATTTAATTATTTCTAAAGATAGTTGAAATTTTGACAAGAATTTTATTAAAATGTTTGAAAATAATTGAATTTTGTAGAAGAATTTAATTATTTCTAAAGATAATTGAAATTTTGTCAAGAATTTTATTAAAATATTTTTAAACAATTGAATTTCTTAGAAGAATTTTATTATTTGAAAATAATTGAATTTCTACAGTCATTTGTAATTTCTCTAAAATTATCCAAATTATATCGTACATTTTATGGACCTTACGGACCTTTTTTTCAAAAATGACCTAAATGACCTAAAAAAATATAAATAAAAAAAAATTATAAATCTGCCTTAAATAAAAAAATACTTATATTTCTTAGGGTGCTTTCTTTAAAATCGCTTCCACAGTATATTCTTATTATATCGGGCCCAATATATATTCCATACGGGGAAATGGTGATTGATGATATGATAGAGAATAGAGTTGTGAAAGGGGAGGGGGTTACTGGTGGATTAGAGTGTTGGGACCAGAGCGGGGATTTCCGCTCAAAGGGGAAGGGAGAATTTTGCGCGCATGCGCTCATTATTATTACGCGAAGCGAACGTCTGAGGCCCGTTTCTTCGCGTGTTCTGAAACGCGCAGTTTCCGCGAATCGGTGCTCGATGAAAAAAGTCCGCGCTGCGATGTCGTGCTTTGCAGTCCGGCGAAAAAATTGCCTGAACAAATGAAAATAGGAGGAAGGTGAGAGGCCCCTCCCGTTATCAGTGTGTTCGGACCCAAAAAGAATTTTTTTTTTCCTTTTTTTTTTTCTCTAAAACATTTTTCTTTTTTATGATTTTTTTTTCAATTTTCATTAAATTTATTGACACCTGTCAAGTGATACTTTTCACTCACGACCTTCGTTCCTTTATACTCTCACTTTTATAATATAACAGTCTATTATTATTAACGTTTTGAATCTTAAAAAGTAAATTCTTTCTAAAATTTCAAGCGTTTTTTTAAAATATTAAAAATAAAATAAATCTTAAATATTATAAATAAAAAAGCATTACAATCTTAAATATTAAAAATTAAAAAATATTGAAACCTTTTTATATATTAAAATTAAAGAAAGTGTTAAAATCTTTTTAAATATTTAAAAAAAAATGTTTATAAATATATATTTGAACACAAGAAACAAATTAAAATAAAAAAAAGGAATAAAAAAACTAAATAAATCCAATTTAGTATATAATATACTTGACGAAATTGTTTATTATTTTCTCAATTAAAATCAGTTTGTTTTCTTAATTAATAAGTAGAAAAAAAAATTTTTATAAGCTTTGTTTTACTAATAAATTTTTCTGTATAAAAAATTTCTTTTCTTTGCAAAAAGAAATTTAGATATATACTTTTATGATAAAAAATATCCTGAACGTTTTATATGGAACGAAATGAATAATCAAAGTGGTGCAAAATATTAGAGAAAAGTAAATTTTTTTTTTTTGAATTGAGAAAAAAAGTGAGACGATTGGATTATATATTCCGGAGGCTGTGGATTATTTCCTTCTGTTACATAAGTATTATCGATAAGTCGCACATTATACACTTCCACCTTATTTTCATTATAAAACAAACACACGAAAATTTTTATTTTATTTACACGAATTCTATGTTTCTTCAGCACACACAACACACACTTGACTGTAAATCTAATCTTTAAACAAATTTCTCAGAGATAAATATTTTTTTTTATCACTTAACAATTTTTTCACATTAAACTATTATTAAAATTGAAAAAAAATTGAAAAAAGTATAAAATAAGTAAAAATTATTTCGAACAGAAGAATATGATTTTTTTTATTAAATTTTATGAAAAAATTAAAATTTTATTTAATTAGTTTGTTACTATATAATGTAATAATGATTAAATTAAGTTTAATTGTTATTAAATAAAGATATTTTGTTTTTAATAATTGAATACAAAAAAAGATTTGAAATAAATTTTCCTTTGTAATTGGGCAGAGTTACATACATAAAATTGCCAATCAGCAAAAATTGTTGAATAATTATTCTTATAATATGCAGTAACTGTAAAAGTAAATAATAATTTATACTTATTAATATTTTTACATTCATTTATATGACGATTTTTTAAAAATACTCTTTTTCATTTTTACTTTTTAGTTAGCATTTTTTCATTAAATAGAAAATTTAGTAAAATTTCCTATTTATTATTTATATTTATTATTAATATATAATTATAATGTTAACTAACATTATTCATTGTTATTATCATTATTATATTATTATTATTATTTGAATTTTATTAATTTAATTATTACTATTATTATTAATTTAATTTTAATAAGTAATCTAATGACAATAATAATAATGATAATAAATAAAAGAAATATTATTATTATTATTATATTAGGTATTTATTAACATTTATTTAAAAATATTTAGAACATTAAAAAACAGTAATTAAAAATTAATAAAAAAGAAGCAAATGGAAAAAAAAATTGTGGAACAATATTTTTTAAATGGGAATTAAAAATGGTCTTTAATCTGAATACAAAAAGTGTTGTAATAACAATATGTATATATATATAAAAGTGTGTGTTCGGTTGAATCAACGATAATTTTCTCCGAGTGTGGGACTGGGCGACTAGGCCGTCGGGACCATGACCACCTTGCGACAAGGTAACCATCGCCGATGGTGACGCAAATGACTCGATACTAACGACCGTGTAAGACTCATTTTTAGCATTTTGAATTTAAAATTCCCGCGCGGCGCCGCGTTAATAGGGCGCGTCACGTGATCTTGTGATTCCCCATTTTCGCAAATAAGAGGACACGCGCGGTCTAAACGCTTTAATTATATTATTTTCAAAATGTAACAATCACAAGCGGTAGATAATATATAATAAATAATAACGATTAAATTAATAAATATAATAATAAGTCAATAATTTATTTATTTATTTGAATTGAAATAATAATATATAATAATATTATAAAAATGTCGAATAAAATTTTTATTTAAAAGAAATAAAAAGTCTAGTTAATTCTGAGACAAATATACGTTTATTTAACTCAAATAAAATATATTTGGTTTAAATAATATTTTTCTCTGGGTGTGATATTGGAGAAATAAATAAGATTATAATCAATTGATAATTAATTAATTAATTACGCTGTGCTATTATCGAAAGTAAACAATAAATTTCGCAGGGAGGTGACAAATTAATATTATTATTATTATTATTGTTTAAGATAATAATAAATAAATAATAAGTTAATAATTTAATAAAAATAATAGAAATTTATATTAAATTATTATTTTTTTTACTATTCAAAATGGTGGATCTAACATGACGGACAAATTGACAAAAAAATTTGTTTATTTTTATGTAACTTCGTATATCTAGTGGTTTTTGGGGTCCTGTATTATAAATTTGAAGTTGGACTATAAAAATGACATTTTTTTTCTAAAATTTACTACATTATTACTATTCATAAAAATAATCGACATCGAAATTATTTAAATTATTAATAAATATACAACGCTATTGCTTTTAGAATTTTAAGATCGCGGTTTTTCTTAAAAATTTAAATATAAAATGTTTTTCTAATATTTAATATAATTATTGATTAAACAATAATTTCTATCATAAATTAAGACTAGAAATATTAATCCAAATAACAAAAATAATATAAATATAATAATAATAATAATAAAAATAATAATCATGACAAAAAAAAAGAATTTTGGTTAATTTTTAAAAAATTTATGATTTTCAGTAGTAAAATTTATAATTATAGTTTAGATGGTTTTTTATGAGAAATGAGGAACGTGAAAAATGATTTCTTTAGGCTATAAGGAAGTAATATTTAAAAATTTTTTACATTTAAAGTGTGTTATAAATTTGAAACATTTTAAAAACAAATAAAAAATAAAAGAAGAAGAATAACATATAAATTTTGTCGAGCACTTTATGTCGTTTAGTTAATTGATTTTAGTGTATAACAAATCTTTTCTAAAATGAGTTGAAATTTTCTCGACAACTGCACACAGCTGCATTAAAATTAGCGTATATAGAAGACATTTATTTCCGAGTCAAAAATGAGGCCGTTGGAATACTAAAACTGTTTTAGTGTTACAATTTTTAAACTATATTTTTAATTTATTCGTTATATTTGTTTCATTATATTTAATGTTTATTTATTTATTTTTATTATTGAATTATTTTTTATTATTTTTATTATTTTTATTATTCTAATCTAAAATTATTATTCTAAAATCGTTTTTCTAGAAAAGAAAAACATAAAACTAAAGCAAAAAACTAGACTTATATAATTATATATTAGGTTATAAATAATAAATAGTTAATTTTGTTTAATTTTGTTAAATTTTGTTAAATTTTGTTTAATTTTTTTTTTTTTTTTTTTTTTTTTTATATAAGAGTTGAATTTATTGATCAATTTTGTTTAATATTAATATTAAAAATAATTTCTCTTTTTTAGAAGATGTTTTAAACAAAACTAAACATTTTCTTTATTTGATTAAAAAACAAATGTTTTTTTTCATAAGTCAAAATACTTTTTTACATTTTATTTTTTAAATTAAAATTTTTTGCAGAATTTTAGTAAAACTAATGAAAATAAAAAATGTAAACAATTTATATATGGTGAATAATAAAATTATGCAAATATTTAATTATTTCTGCTAAAATTAAATAATAATTCGTATATTTTCATTAGTTTTTGAATATTTTTCTTTTTATTATTTAAATCAGTGAAGATATTTTTATAATAATAATAATAATAATAATAATAATAATAATAATAATAATAATAAATAATAATATTATATTTAACGCGTCATGAAGAAAGGGACCAAAGAAGAAAAATTTGTTAGGTTATGTTTGTTATTTTTTTACTTTGCATAAAAGATTGTTTTTAATTTTTAAAAATGAATAATACTTTTAATTGAATATTTTAAGTGTAATAAAGACTTGAGCATAATCGGTTTGAATTCAGAGCGCACTAACTTTATGCATTTTTACCTAAATGTAACGAACATAACCTATAAGATTGTGTTTCTTAAAAAAAATAAAAGAAATAAATTCGTAGCCCATTTATATATTTAAATAAGAAAATAAAAATAAATTAATAATAAAAAATTATAAGAATAATAATATTAATAAATATTTATAATTTTTTATATTCGAATGTCAAGGAAAATTTCATGCTGAGAAAAATATTATAATATTCTTAAATGGAAACAATTTTTTGATACACAATATATATATATGTATGACAAAAGAGACTATGTCTGACTGTCAAAATTTTATGTATAGTGTAGTTTTGTTTATGCAGATGGCTTTATTTCGAAATTCGCACGCAACCAATGACCCCCAAAACGTGTCTTCGTCATTCGCTTTCACCGCGAGCGCGCTTGTCACTATATATATATATACTTAACTATAAAGTCCATGCGTGCCTCAATATTATATATTAGAGTCGAATCTTTATATTATACAAAAAGGCAAATGTGTATTTTTCTCTTCTTCTTTTTTCTTCTTCCCCCCCCCTTCCTACCCCATTCTCTTCACTTCTCTAAAATAACGCAGAAAAAAAAGTCATTCAGAAGCCATTCTCGACAGTCGTTGTGGGCACGTGGGATGATTTGATAGAACGCGCCTGCGCAGATTCGCACACAGTGCCTTGAATAGTAAATTCATCTTTTTTCTCTC